CTCCATCCCATCCTCTCCTCTTCGCACATAATAGATAGACCATAGACCATCGAGTGAATTTACTCCTGACTTTTACCACTCAAATCGCTCACTATTCATCAATTATTCAATTTCTCAATAAATTCTTATTTTTCTTCGATATCCGCTTTTCTAGTTTGTGAAATTCAATTTTTTTCGTCAATATTTTCCTTTCTTTCGTCGATAGTGCTGTCGATCGGGGGTTTTATGGGACAAATTTGGGAAGTTTGTGAATGCATCAGCGAGAAGAAGAGAAAGAGCCGGAGGGGGGTTACTGGTCTCGCGGAGTTTAAGGTGGTGGGTTTTCGCGTAGCCGTAAATTTCCTCAGTGTGAGTTTAAAGGCCGCGGGCAAACCCCCCATCAACCCCCCCACCCACCAACCAGATCTCGGCATCACTGCTTTCCAAATTCCCTCCACTTCCTCCCTTTTAAACTCAACTTCTCCGCAAACGCGTTCTCCAACGGCTCCACAGATATCCTCTCCGCGATCTTCTATCAATAATTTCTGGGAATGGTGTCTGGAAATCTCGCGAAGAATGAAATTTTCGGGTGAATCCAATTATCGCAGGGAATGAATCAACTCGGAAAATTGAGATATTGCGGATGATTTTAATCCGTGGAAAACTGAGTTTTCGTTATTTTGATTTTACATTCAACGATGAAAAAGCATTCCTCCCCCTCCTTTGTCCTTTTCACATCTCCACCAGCTAAGGAAGCATGAGTGAGCGGACGTAGTATGCAGATTCGTAAAATAAATGTCTGAAAGTTTCACTATAACTCTGCGCACAGAAATCTCCAGCTCGTTCTCTTTCCAGTGGAATCCTCAACCCCTTTGGGGGTGGGGCCACTCCCTTAACCACCCCCGAGGACTTTTCGTCCTCTACTGGGCGCCCACACCGCATTATTCAGTACATCCACGTACGACCACTCGAAAAAAAAAATAAAAGCCAAGAAGAATTTGTCAAGCGACAAAAAATCAAATCAAATCCCACGGATGTACGTAATTTTTATCATTATCCTCCCTTCAAATCAAATGACTTTCCTCCTGCTGGCTGGCAGGTGTGTCACGACCGGGAAAACGAGAGACAGAAAAATTTAATATCTTCGCTCGTTGTTTTGGTATAACATCACAAACGCTAATGGACATTGATATTATGCACCTAAGAGACTCCTAGAGAGCATCCCTGTGCCAAAGGGGATGGCCTTTCGACTAAACGTGTTTGCTATGCAGACGTTATTATATTGGAAACACAAGGTATCAAACTGAGAGGACAGAAATTCAATTTTTCACTAGGGGATGGTTTTTTAAATTTTTTTCTGTCTCGGATGGGTGTGTCTTGTGGGGTGGAGCCAGCTGCCACCCCCTCGCCAAAAGTAACTTGCGAATTCTCACAGTTTTAAGCTTTCTTGCAGACAAAGTTGGCGACTTAGCTGGGGCATTTTTAGGGGTTATCTTAATCTCAACGGATTACCTGGCAGCCCTCAGCAACTGACTGCTAACGGGGGTGTATACACCCCCCCAGTGCACGAATATCTCAACACAAATGTACACACGCACTCAAAGTGGTGTCAACAGACATGTATAATTAATGTTTTGACGAGTCTTCAATAAAAATGTGTGAATAATCAATTTGTTTTTATTGAATAGAGAAAATCCTGATGTCTTGATGGAAAGGAAAGAATTCATGGAGATGGGGAATCGCAACGTTCACCGCAAGTCGAATCTTTTTTTTTTCTCTTGTGGTGGGTCTTCGGGGAGTGAGTGTAAAAGCACATGTACGAGTTAAGGGCCAGTATGTTTTCACTCAGGGGTAGGTTAGCCACGATTCCGGGTCTCCACGAAAAAGGGGAAGCCTTGCAATTTTTCACTGTGACAATACCCCATGTTCTCTACATTCTCTCGCGTGTGTATGTAATCGTGCAGCACAACGCACCGGACGTTGGTGACCACTTCATAAAATTACTTTATTACTCGTCCGGTTTGGGACAGTATGCCAACCTTTTTCACCATTTTCTGCGGCTACTTTTTTTTTTTCAACCCACGGTTTTTCAACGTATGTACCACTCCCACTCGTGATATATCACGAACAAGTTTCGCAAACTCATTATCATTTTCTGGAGTTCCTGCGGCTGGGGGAAAAAAATTCATTCAATACGGGAGATATTCATTTGCAAGAGAAACTATTTTTTAATATAATTGGAGAACGTATTCAATTGTGGATATTTTTTGAGGAAGATGAAAATTATTGTTGCGAGCGATATGAGCGTGAGGTACAGCGGGGAGTTATAATAAATAATAAAATGTACAATATGTACAGGGGGTTGGCCGCCGCAGTAACTTTAGCGTTTATTAGATTACAAAGCTCGTACCATCTGCAGAATCTCGGACGGAAGCCGTTAATTTTCGTTAAAAACCAAATGCCGCCGCGGCGAATGCGTGCGGGTTAACATACCTCATTCTCATTCTCACTTACTTTATTTAGTATCCAACTGTCTTTCTCTGGTTATTTCTTATTCACTCATTCCCACTGAAACACTGGAGATAAGTAAGCACGATTTTACATGGTTAGAAGAACACTAACGCAGTCTCTTGACTTCCATGAAGATTTACCGAGTCCAGACTATTTTCGTTTTGTATTTTCTCGTGGTTCGCAGATGCTCTTTAAACTTGGAAACTCATTACTTTCATTTAGTTTCAATTATTGAGATGGAGTGTACACAACATTCGTTTGAATTCCTCAACCGTTGGAAATAAATCCAGGGAAGGAGCGAATTTTATTTTAAAATTCAATTTTTTGGAATTTTTCAAGGGTTTTTTAAATGCCGTGGATTTTTTGCTGAACATTGTGCGGAGCCTTATCGGAAGTTCGTTAATTATTCGGGTGGTGGCGCCAGCAGTCGAGTAGTAGAAAAATTCGAGGGGTGAGACGTTTTTATCGACTGAGTCCATGTGCGAGCTGAAAAAATTGATAGTGATAAAAAATTATGGGTGGTGGATAAAAAATTAATGAGGCTCAATCGCGGATTGACTTGATAAAAAAAAAATAACGAATATTTCATGAGATTCTCTTGCCGTTTATTTTAAATTTATCATGCCGTATAAACGTTTGGTTTAACGACCCCCGAGCCAACTACAAAAGCTTTAATGTCCCCCCGACTCTACGATCTACTTTTCCAGGTATAAGTTGACTCCCAGCTTTTTCCATTCTATAAATTGTGACACTCAGCGAATTAACGAGCCAACAAATTCAAAGTTCTCCATGAATTCTCTTAAAAAAAATAAAATACAGAAGTATATCCTGACCACTAGACAATACCGGAATCACCCAAAGAAATTTTAATGCAACGAGAAAAGGAATTCATGAAGTGTCCTGGGGTCTGGAATTTTTTTCTCCACAAAGTCTCACAGGGAAAAAAAAGGGGTGAGAAAAAAAAAACGCGTGTCCCACACTTGCCGGCTGACACTTGTCCCCAAAGCGATCCGCATACCCGAGGCACGCGCCAACCCCCGAGAGATCACCCCCAAAGTGTGAAAGAACGCGTGCGCCAATTTACCCCTGTTCTTTTTTTTTTCCCTCATTTGCTCATCCCTCGTTTAGCCAGGGCCACCTTTTTTTTCCCCCTCAACTCATCCCCCGTTTTTTCTAACAGGTGGCCACTGTCGTGGGCTCTTTTTTTTCAACCCCTCCCCACGGGGGCTGTTTTGTGTGTTTTTTTTTTTTTACGGCACCTCACACCCGAGTTTTTTTTTCACCAGCCCATGTATGCCGGGCTCTCACCACAGGTGAGCCCATTATCCCCTCGTTTTATCCGCGCGTGCGGTTGCCACCACCTCTTTTTTTTTACTCCACTTTTATCCTTCATTATTTTTATCACCCCGTGGTTGGAAAATTACGGATAAAAAAGTAGAGGCTCATTCAATAAACCTGCGGTTAATTCCGTAATGGTGATGAAGAGTGCGAATTACTGTTTTTTAATCGTTGAAAAATTCATTCAGCCGTTCTAGAAATATTTTAGTTACTGGAATATAAATTTTTGGGTAGTTATGTGGATTAATCATCTGTTGTGAGTTAATGGAAAAATAATTGGTACTGGGCAATTAAAATTGAGAAGATCGAAAAGGTTGATGGGGTAAGAGTATTTTCTTTGGGTTATTTTTGTTTCTTATTGGGTTTTTACGCAGCGATTGCCTGTGAGGGTGGGGAATTCGATGAAGGGTGGGGACTAGATGATGGGGGTAAAGGAGGACTGTAGGAGAATAAAGGGGGTGGATTGAATTCGTGGTGGGGGTAAGAACAGCCGGGTGGCGCCCCTTAATTTCTCCGACAGTCAGTTGAGGAAAATCAATAAAAATACAAAAAATAAATGGATTCATTCCTCAGAACGCGTATTTTTGAACGACTGCAGTATTTGGTGGAAAAATATTTACCTGATAAAAGATTCCTATCACGGAAATATGAAGAAATCATCATGCAGGACCCGAAATATTTTTCACAATAAAAATTCTCATTGAATCCATTTATTTATTTATTTTTCGTTGCACAAGTTCAAAAAATTTTAAAATTAAACATATAATTATTATCTCAATTGAAAAATGACTCTTCAATTGAGAAATGGTTTTTATTTTATTCCCAAGTGCGTCATTAGTGAAATGAAAACAATAGCTTTCCGAAGAAAGACAAAAAGTGAGAAGTTGACGGGCAGAGGAGTGACGGTTTGGAAAATAGAAGACGAGGAAAAATCGTTCTCATTGTCTGGGTTTGGGGTGTCGCCATTTTATCATTTCCTCGCCCCCTTTCTCGCATATTTCAAATGACAAAAACCGAGCCACCATCAACGCTGGGACCCCAACTACGAGAGATTTTACCCATCGTCTTTTTCAACCACCCGCCACCCCCCCGCCACCCTCCACCCTCGCCTCTTTTCTCCAGCCACCCCCCAGCGTCTTAACTTTAATTGCCTTTATTTTGTAGCGGGAAAAAGTTGCCAACTGAAAAGCTCCATTCACAAAAAATAAAAAAGCCGATAAAATCCATTGAATGTCATCAACTGAAACCTCATTAATTATTTATTCATCCACTCACCAAAAATATACACAATTCTCAGAGACGTCTAGTTAATAATGAGAGAAAAAAATATTTTTTAATGTGAAATCATTCGACAGATGATGCCGCGATCATTGAAATTGGATAAGAGAATCAAAACTGATACCAGAAGGTATAACGATTCCCCGGATTATTATATTCCACCTTGAGAATTTATAATATCCATCTATAGATATATATTATATTCAATCTAACTGAAGTGAAATCTCCCTGCTATGGCGTTGTCGATGAGGAAATCAAGCGATAACGATATTAACCGTGACGAGACCTTCCAAGCCTCGGCTAACTGCACAGTCTCCATATATATACGGAATCCAGGATCATCTCCCTCACACCGAGAGGGACGAGAGAATTCCTTCGCTGGGACACGAACTATCTCCACAGAAATACATGAGCCATGAACCCGACCGCGGATTCTCCCGCGAAGTTTTTCATCACCTGGAAAAAAAAAAATTCAACACAATTTAAAAATCAAAACTTCCAAACCAATTGATCGCCCCCAAAAAAATCACTCACAAAAGAAAATATCATAAATATACGACAATAATATTTGTATAATATAATATAATATATCACGAACATTCAGGGATTTTTTCGAAAAATAGAAAATATAATAGGTTGGAACTGTCAACCCCCGCCGTCAATAAAACGTGAACTTGAATGTATCTTTAGGCTTCTTACATCATCAAAAGGCTTTCTCATCTTTCCCGAGAAACACGAGTTTACGGATTGAATGTATAAAGCCCCTGTCCCTTTTTTCAAGCCCCTCTTAAGCAGTCCAATTTCTGCTGTGTATATTTTAGGCATTAGGCGAGAGCCATCGGCCATTTTATCTGTCTTTTATCCCCGGGAATCGTCGGTGAAATGGATGGTGGGTGCAACAGAGAGAAACCCCGGGACTAAGATTGAAGATAGAGTGGGAGGGTGAGTGCCAAGGGGTGAGTTGACGTCAGAAAAAGCCACCCTATCGTTCTTTCCTCCTTACCATACCCCAAACTACAGTTCGCTCATTCTTTCTCAGTCGCACCCACACCAATTTCACCCTCAACTCCGGCCCACTTAGCAGTAGGAAGAGCCAAAGGGAGTGGAAAAGAGTGAGACGAGTTAGGGTGAAATGGAGAAAAGTCCTTCGGAAAAGTCTGGCCCCAGCAAAATGGTCGGCCCTCTCTCCACGATTTTTATCTCCACCTTCATCTACTCGGCCCCCCTCCAAACCCTCTTCCCACCCCTTTCACCCCCGAGTCGTCTCGATTCCTGGATTATTCACTCGTAAATCCTCTATGAAATATTTCCAGCTCCCCGGATGTTGAGAAACTAGGAAAAACTGTTGGAAAGCATCAGCGAGAAGTGAAAACTCGCCCCGACAACTTGCCACTGGACCCACTGACCACCATCAAACATCACTATCCTCATGAAACAGTTGACAAGCCTTTAAGCTCTTGCCACTGCTTCCGTATATAGATTATACACCCTGTGGAGATGAACAGGCGAGACAAATCTTTCTGCGTCATTTCACTCGACAGACTGTGAACAAGGGGCTCAACGTTCCGTTGTCATCTCCAGCATCCCCATGCAGATCCAACCGAACTCTCAAGAAGAACCTCGATGACGAGTCGTATTGAAAGAATAATTTTTAGTCCCCGCGGAGAGGGAGAATCACTTAACCATCGGCTGTCACCACAAACCCACGGTTTTCGGCTTCACAATATCACCAAGAGACACCCACGAAGCGTTCAGCCATTGCCGGGTCAGCCACAAACTAGGAATGTCTCCGGCTTACCAAGAGAACGTCCATCCAACGGAATTCTGTCGCTTACCTTCAACAATCCCCCACTCCACCACCAGCCATCTGATTGTCCACAATGAAACCGAACAAAGACAGTTGCATCTAATGCCAAAAACGCCAGCTTGATCCAGAGATGGTGAAGAAAAAAAAAACGATTGCTGGGGTGCGTGATGTTGAAACCCGTTTCTCAAAAGTGACCCCTTCTCCGATGGGGCTTTCAACGGAAAAGGGTTTTAGTCCAACGGGCCTCATTAGCATATACCGGGAGGAGGGCCTTCAAAGGTCCGACTGCAAAACTGGTCAGGCTAGTTTTTTTTTTTCAAACTTATTTTTCTCTCTTCTCTTTCCACTGGCATCAATTCACGATGACCAGATGTCCATTCTCGGATACCTACGGTAGGGGAGATTGCCTGGTGTCTCACTCCAATGAATTGTACTGCTCTGTGACCTCGATATAACAGGGAGTGGGATAACCTTACCCCTTGGTCCCTCGGAAGTGACCCCCGGAATGATGTATACCTAGAAGAACCGGTTTGGACACAACGGATTCCGCGAATGCTGGGGCAAGGGTTCCATACCTGGATTCAATTGCGTTGATGTGTGAACTACATCACGCGATTATTTTTTTTAAGCAACACAATTACGAATAGTTACGAATAGTTGACGCTATTTTACTAGCTAGCTGTTTTACTAATTGTCCTGCGAGAGGTGGAGAATCGATTTGATGGCTACGGAGTAGAATGAATGCCATAATACTTACGATAGAGCGCAAACACTCGGAGGATTCGTTCATGTACAGATATAGATATTTGGCCTGGGTGAAAGTGTACAGGCGAAACCAACACCACCCCTACAGGGCAATTTGGATAATGACTACACGGCAGATTCTCAACGGCGGATTATCCCACCGGACGTTAAAACGATAGTTTCTTGTCACTAGCGAACCGATCATTTAAATTTAAGGTGATGAAATATTGTTTCATACTAGACCAATCGGTGTCACTGAGACTTTAATTGAGACAAGAGATACAAACGATTCGCAGATCGAGGTGAATACCGAGTGGCGATAAAATGCAAAATTACGAAAGTAGAAAGTAGAAATGTTCGAGGGGAAAGCGTTCCGCGCATTTTCCACTGTTCGTTTTATCGAAGGAGATGGGTGGTGGAAAAAGAAAAGACGGTTGAGTAAAACGAAGGGTAAAAAAAGAAAAAAAAAAGGGGTAGACTCGAGAGCCCAGGGCGGTTCTTGGACCATTTCAACCTATACCCGTCCTTGAAGTGAGAGCTGGGTATATATCTCGGTTATAGTCGAGAGAGTCTCTCGCGAGGGGGTGGATGGGGGGGTAAAATGGGGGAGAAGAGGGATGAGAGATGGTGGGTTTTGGACCAGAGGGGGGTGGCAAGAGGGGCGGCATTAATTACGCTCCTTTATTATAAAAACTGAACTCCCTCCGGCCAGGAGAAACGAAGAACGGCCAGATAAGGAGGGAAAAAGCCCCGACCAAAGCCAACCCCACCTCTTCACCCACTCCACCACCTTTTTCCATCCTCTTTTCTTCACTCAAGCTGCTCTCTCTCTCTCTCTGTTCAATTTAAAATACTTAATCTGTCTTAGTCCGCTTGTGCCTCGGTACGGGGTTGTCAAATGCAACTGTTTTACAATCACTTGGATTATTCTGATAATTCTCATCAAATTTTTATATCGAAGACGGCGAATGATTGATTCAGACGTCACAACTCATACCATAATCTAGCAATTCATCCTCTCGGGATTAAGTCGCGGGCCGGATGTTCTGGCCCAGATTGCTCAATTCGTGGTGGAGGGGTATTATGAAAATTTCGAGTTCTGCATTTTATTTTAATTTGGAAACCATTTGTGGGGATAATTGGGGCGAGTGTGGAGGTTTTTAAGATTAAAGCTGATATGATTATTTGGGGTATTGAGGGGTGACTGATTATTTTAATTATAAACGATTATTTTTTTCTGTACTGAGGTGGAATCGGGGAATTTAAACAGAAGTATTTGGAATTTCGGGGATTGATGTCATATTAATCCGCCATTTTATCGCATCGGGGAGAAAAAAAATGGAAAAATGGGGAACGAGGGAATGATGGGGAGAAGAAAAATGTCTGATATCTGTTTTTCTAACTTCTCATTGTGAAATTGGAGTTGAGAACCGCCGTGGAAAATAAGAAACGGGAGAAAATGGCGAGGATTTTAATTTGCATCCCTCCCGCGTGGCCGCCCTTGTCTTCAGTGTTGAGAGGGGTGGTGGCAAGTGAGAGGCGAGTCTGGCTACTTTCTCCAGGATGAAAAGCAGAGAGGCTAAAAAGAAGCGGAGAATGAGGGGTTGGAGAAACATCATTGCCGCACGCGCAGAATGAAATTGCCGATTTGCCGAAGGTACACTCTTTATTTGTTTTCCTTTTTCTCGGGCTTTCATTTTTTTTTTTTTTTCATTTTCATCCTCCGTTTAATTTTGAAGCCCCTTTCTTGTCCCTTCGGTATATATTACGCTTTCACCCTTGAATTCTACAGCCTAGCAAATAACTTTCATAATTTCCGATTAGAAAGTTTTCAACCCCTTCGCGGGGTATTGATGCCGGGATCACAGAAATGTTTTTATGTTTTTTCATTAATTTTGGTATTTCGAGATTTTTTTGGGGATGATTGGTGTAATTTTGGTGTAATGGAAATTATTGATTTTAAGGGGTTAGATATTTTTTTTTTTTGTTGTAACAAGACGCGACGGATCATTGGGCGTCATTCACCTCGCGGTTGATCAGTTTTGGCAGAGCCTGGGGGCATCTCCCTCACTAAACTTTACAATCTTTCATCAGTCCTTTGACTCTGTTTACGAGGGTCTTCTTTCATGGTATCTGTTTATACTTTTCACCATCAAAGGAAAATCTTCTGCGCAATCGAATGCCTAGCCCATAAACGTCTCCCTCGTCAACAAAATCTTATCCTGAAAAATTTTTTACAACGACAAAAAATCGACTCATAATAGCGGCATGAGTGTGTGGGTCTGACCCCCAAGGGCCCACCCCTTGACATCATTTTCAATTCTCCGCGGACAGAATACGCCCCTTCCTTTTCATTTTATATCAACTTTTGTCCGAGAAAACAGACCGTTGGGCAAGTCTTCAGAATAATTCTGAATACTCGGCATTCAGTCTTATATATTTCGGCCGAATTTTCATCGCAAAGGCAAACACAATCCCTCCGGGAATAAAGAAAGATTTTGTACTGCGAAAAGATTTTTTTTTATTATCACCGCCGAATAAAAATTACTGCTAAAAATACTCGGAGCAATTTTTTTTCACAGTAAGAGTGAGATGAATTGTCTGCGCCGTGCGGATGACTGCAATTTTACGTCGTTCATAATACTCTGGTTCATTAATTTCTCCAGCAAAAGACAGTGCCAGAGCCAGAGGTCCAGACCTAGTCAAGAAAGAGGAAGGATCTCTCCACCCACTATTTGAATTCAAAAACGAGTGCTCTCTTGCACTCACACCCACGATTCAACCACCAAGAAACAGAGAGAACGTCTTTCCTCCACCTTCACCATTTCTTAATGTTTTTCCTCTTGGTCTGCTATCCGTCGTCTTATTCTCGTTAGAACAGGATGAAAAATCGTGAACGCGGAAT